TCTTACTAGCACTGGAAGTTAGAACTGTTAACAAATCAGAGGCAAATAGAAGTTGACTATGTAAGTCAGAAGTCACAGCAGCAGAACAAATAACCTCCATCCTCAGCTGCTTAGAGACCATCATGCCCACGATTAGACCAACACAAAGGATGTCCATTTCTCTCTTTTTCTGTGAGAAAAGGCCCACTCTTTATCTTAAAGGATTGACAGAAACTGACCTAGGAGAGAGATCTGTGTGTAAGAAACTTGAAAATTTTGCTCTATCCAATTTTAGATTTTTGATAAATTCAGAGCTTTTCCTGTCATATATGATCATCACTAGGTCAAAGGAAGATTGAGATTTCAACAATTGTGTATTTTAAAGTATACATTGTACAAAGGACACTGTATCTTGAATTTTGTGGATCAGCACTCAGAGTAGGAAATGTATTTTACATCATAATCCAGAACACACATCATATATACAACTTAAAATGATAGTTACCCCTACCCCTACCACATGCAATAAAAGTGGCACCTTTTTATTTGAGCTCCTTGCCTGGTACCTACCACAAACGGATTTCATGATGGAGTAACAGGTTACAACCTATGATTTGAGAAACACTGTGGTAGTGCACATCTATGGTCCAGCCTTGACCTACCTCTCCAACCCCATTTCTACCAACATTCCCATCCTCCCCCTAATTTCTATTCTTTTTTATAGTAAACCAAATGGTCAGTTCCTAAAATATGCCAATCTCTTTGCTGCCTTTGATCCTACTGTGAGAGCTATTTTTTTTTTAAAGATTGATTGATTGATTGATTTATACAAGAACTGGGGTACAGGCCAGATGCACGGGAGGGTGAGAGGACTCACCAGAGACAGAGCGCGGAAAAGAATAGGCAGAATGACGAAATACACTGCTGAGGAGAGCAGCGGGCACTACAGAAGAGGTCTGCTGCACCATGTGGGACCGACACCGGCTGGCCGGGATCGAACCCGCGCTGCAGAGGCTGCGGACAGCCTCACAGCGCTGCGCTTAACCACCTGTGCCACCAGCGGAGGCCCCGTGAGAGCTATTTACTAAAGTTAAACTTATCACAAATTGGGTGTCCCTTTCCCTGGCCCCAAACTTATAGGCAAGGACAGAGATAGGGCATGCCTGTACCTAGGAAAGTATGTCATCTTCCAGCAAATCACTAACTTCAAAGGAATGTTCAGTTCAGGACTGATAGCTCTATGTCCCCAGCTTCCCAGAAGGTGCTTTTTCCAAAGAACAACTACCCTGCTTGTTAGCCTCAGTGAATATGAAACATTAAAAAAAAAATTAAAACAAGACCCTTACCAGCTTCATTCTTGTCTCTGTAGTTAAAATGTTTACTGTAACCCCACTGCACAACACTAAATATATAAAAACCCTGTAATCAGACTCTGAAATGGAAGCATTCCTCTCAGAGCATTCTGAAGTCTTCCCAGCGTGAGTTCTCACTTTGATTCTTTAATAACTCACTCAAATTAACTTGTCTCAATTCACTTTAGTTGACAGTGCTGCCTGGAACCCCTCCCCCAGATCACTGCACTTTATATTCAGATCTCAAGACAAAAGTCACTTCCTCAAAGGGGTTTTCACTGACCACCCAATTTGAAAGAGTCACCACACACAACTCCAGCCAGGAATTTAGGTGGGGAGCTCACTGTTCTTATAGATATTGGGGAGTCTGAACAATAAAATGTAAGACAGGCACAGAAAAAAACAGCATTCCACAAATGTCACTTTCCCTGTGTCATTACATAAATGATTGAATTCTAGTTATTGAAATTCTATTTCATTTGTTTCACCTGGCTTTTCTGATTTTGAAAAGTGAGGACTCCATTTGCCCGTTTCACCCGCCCCAAGTACTCTGCACTCTCTCAGAGCACTTAATGTATTTTTTAGCTTTCTCGTTTTGTTCTTCCTTCAGCAAATAACTGAGTGTCCAATATCTAAGCAATAGCAGTGGGCAAATGTTCATTCTTCTCATAGTTCACAATTTAGTAAGGGGGGCAAATCTATAAGTAAATAATTTCCACTGAATGTGGTAAGTATAATAAGAGAGATGGGTATTATGTAAAGTTGAGACAACAGAGAATGAAGACTCCACTTTCCTTGAGTAGAGAAGGTATCATAGAAGAGACACCCAACCTAGATTGGAAAGGATCCATAGGAGTTTGGTAAACAAGTAAGTTGTAAAGGCATTCCATGTAGAGGAATCAGTATGTACAAAGTAGAGAGAATAGGTTTACTGCCAATTTAAAGTTGCTTGGTATGTTAAATGAAAGGTAAGTAGCTAAAAGGCGAGAGGGCTAAAAAGTGTGTCTAGGAAAGACAGAGGTGATAAAGAAGCTAGAGGGTCTTGTATGCTATTCCAGATACTCTGAATTTTATGCAAAATAAAATAGGGAAGGAGGAGTTTAAAGTTTTAAAGAGGGAAGGGACATTGACAAGCTTGGGTTTTAGAAAATTCTGGTGGCAGACAAAATAATGGCATGAAGAACTGCCAGATCAGATTTCTAAAGACACTACAAGAAACCAGGCAAGAAATGAGATAAAACAGGATCCAGTCACTGATTGAATACAGGAGACATAAAAGAGAAAGGAAAATGGGTAACTCTGCTTTCTTGTTTAGGTTATAATACAGTATTATCATTAAGTAATTTAGTTTAATAAGGGAAGCCAGGTGAGAGATAGCACACTTAGTTTGGGTCATGTCAAGAGATCTTTCTTGGTGGTAACCAGGTAAAGATGTCAAGGAAGCAGTTAGTTTAGGCTTTAGCAAGCCTGAGATGAAAACTGAAATTTAGGAGTGAAAGTTTTACACATTAGCCAAATTCATGTGTATGGATAAAATCACCCAGGAAAAATGTAGAGAGAAATTAATTACTGAGCAAACCCTAGAGAAGGGTATTTTTAAAATAGGCAAAGCTGGTGGCAAAAAATCAGATGAATGACCCTAGACTGCAGTTGTCACAGAGAGGATAACTGAAATAAACTTTGAGAATTACTGGATTTGGCACTTAAAAGGTCATTAAAAACTTAAGCAAGAGCAATTTCACGAAGCCATTAGAGAGGAAGTCAGACCACAAAGTGAAGAAGATTATAGTGAGATAGCAGAAGTTGAATAAATTGGAAATAATATGATTTCAAGCAGATGATAGATAGATGATGGATGGATAGATGGATGGACGGATGGATGGATGGCTAGCAGGATTGGGCAATAACTTGAAAAACACAGGATAGGTGATGTGCTTCCTTATGTCACTTTCTTAATATGTATGGCTTGAAAAATGAAGGACAGAAAGCAGAGAGGAAGAGTCTGAATGCACAGGAAAGAAAACTGGAGGGCCTCCCTGGTGGTGCAAGGGGTTAAGACACAGCCTATGAAGCTATCATCAGCCACTGCAGCACGAGTTAGATCCCCAGCTGGCCAGGGAGCTACCCACATGGCGCAGCAGACCTCTCCTGACTCACCTGATGCTCCCTTAGCAGTGTATTTTAGTCAATCTGCCTGTTCTATTCCCCACACTGTCTCTGGTCAATTCTCTCACCCCCCCCAAACCTCTGGCCTGTACCCCAGATCTTGTATTCATAAATAAATCGGAAGGAAGGAGGGAAGGAAGGAAGGAAGGAGGGAGGGAGGGAGGGAGGGAGGGAGGGAGGAGGAGGGAGGGAGGAGGGAGGGAGGGAGGGAGGGAGGGAGGGAGGAGGGAGGGAGGGAGGGGAGGGAGGGAGGGAAGGAAGGAAGGAAGGAAGGAAGGAAGGAAGGAAGGAAGGAAGGAAGGAAGGAAGGAAGGAAGGAAGGAAGGAAGGAAGGAAGGAAGAAGGAAGGAAGGAAGGAAGGAGGAAGGAAGGAAGGAAGGAAGGAAGGAAGGAAGGAAGGAAGGAAGGAAGGAAGACTGGAAGCAAAATGTCCTAAAAGGAATGGGAGGAAATGAGATGTAGAGTAAGCATGGAAGCATTATCCTTCATCATCTCTTCCTCTAAACTAGAACTACAAGAGGGAAAGATCCATAAAACTATTGGTCAGTGTATAGGTTGAGGGCATGAGTATGAAGGAACAGACTGTTAGATTATGTCACATGCTTAGAAATGGAGGAAAGAAGAGGGAAGTGTCAAATTTTGTAAAGTGAAGATTTGAAAAGGGTTCTGTAAAAAAGGCAGGGGCAACAAAAAGGCTTGGAAGTAGTAACAGAGAGGGGTGGGAGACGGGGGACTCTTGCTAAATTCATAGTTATATCCAACTGACAACAGTCATCTTTCTACCCTATAGTCCCTTATTTATAAGTGTTTAAAAGATTTGGTAATTAAATGAATTAGCTAGAGCCCTGTTGTTCTCAAACACATGAGTGAACTGAAATTGAAAATGCAAATATCCATCCCATTCGTATCCACTCAGAATTTCTCTAAGTTAAGCTCAAGCAGGTAAATATTCCAGAAGTTCTCCAAGTCATCTCTGAGGGATATTCCAGTTTAAAAAGCATGAACTTAGAAGGTAATCAACTAGCTAGAAGAGAACTAGTGCAAAATGAAGCTATTACTAAATGGCCCTTAGACATCAGTGCTGTCATTTAGTTGAGCAAAGACTGCAAGATCTAGGGAGCTTCGGATCAGTGCTGAGACAGTCACATACACACTACCACATCTTTTTTTAAGCATGTAACGGTGAAGCTGAGAGCTTGAAAAGAATGTTAACGGTGAAAAATGCATTTTAAGATCGTTGGATGAGAAGTCTCACCTCAGACTATGAGAATCAATGTCTTACCCCTAAATTTGCTGTTCGGTTGCTCTAGAGGCTTAGCAGTACCAAAGTGGAATTGAGGGTGCTGCAAGAAAAAGGGAGAGCAAGGCAAATGCAGGGAGCCCTAAAAAGGGAGAAAGAGATCACGAGGCGAGTTTCGGGGACGCGTCTGAGTGGTCATCCGGCCCAAGACCAGGGACACTGCGTAACCATAACCGCGGGCTCTCGCCCCGCCTGGCACTCACCATAGTCTCGGGTCTCAGCACAAGAAACTAGGTATCGTTGCAACAGGAAGACACTACTACCAACACCAAAGCGCGGTTACTCTGGCGACCGAGCCCCGCCCATTGCCGGAAACTGCGTAGCCTCCACCGCCCCGCCCCTCAGTCCCTAGTGGCTGGGAGTAATAGAAGCCCCGCCCATCCAGCCGAGAGGCCCGCCCCTTGACGCCGTCGCCGGGAGCGACGGGACTCGGCCTGCCGCTTTCTAGCAACGTCACCTGTTTGGTTGACACGTGACCCGGAAGCTCAAGCGAATATGCGGCTAGAGTACAGATATTCTAGTTTATTTTTAAATAGGCTCTATTCCAGTTCTCACTTACTGACGCCTTACACCGTGTATTTTGTGCTACTTTAGTGTAAGTAGGCCACAGAGCGTTCACCTTTTTTCTTTTGCGAAGGGATTCCGGAAACGCAACCCTGAGTAATCGGAAGTGATTGCTAGTGAGCGAGCAACTTGACGTCAGGAAGGCCTGGATGGCCTTGGAATGGGAGAGGACTTTGCGGAGAGGAGAACCCACTGATACCGAGCCGGGCGTCCTGAAAAGTGAAGCCCCCTGAAATCGGTAGGGTCTGTAAAGGTAAATCCAAGAAGCGGCTTGTGTAACTCAGCGTATTTCGGAAAGGGCGGAGATCTGGGTTGAAGTTTGTTCTTCTGCTTTGGATCTGGGGAAAGGCTGCCTGTTGCCCAGGAATGGCTTGTACACAGAGGGATAGAACCTCGCATTCAACTTCCCGAGACAGCGAGGTGGACAGGCTTGCTTCCACTCCTCTTACCCACTCCACACCAACCAGGTGTTTGCCGACAGACGCTCACTGTGCTTGTACATTTCTGTGCGCGTCTTCCGCGTGGTTTCGGGGCTATTTTCTCCTGGGAAGAATGTTTGGATGCCTGTTTTCTGAGCAATAGAAGGGAGTGTTAGCGACTGTTTAGAAAGGTGGTCACGGGAAACCCTTTGCCTGGTTGTATCTAGTACTCTGATCACTTCGGTGTTGAAACCAGTTGTATCTGGTATACAGTTCATAATATTAACGTCATTACTATCACCTTTCTTGTCATGTTCTCCAGTGAATCTTAGTCTGCTGTGCGGTAATGCATATATTTCTGAAAGCATATGTGATTGCATTGTATTTTTACCAAATTAAGTTATGAATATTTTTGTGGCTTGTTAAGCATTTCTACAGACGCTCCTTTCTGATACATTTAATGAAAAGTAGTTGTTAATAATGCCTCCTGAGAAAGTAAATGACTTACTTTAAAATTTCTGTTGTTATATATAGATGGAACAGGAATTGATGGGGAAAAGCCTATAGTAATTTCTGTGCTATCTCTGAAATAAAATTCAGGACATACATCTAATAATTTAGAGTATGCTAATAAGGACAGTAGACATAGCAGTAGCATAGCCATAATAATATCGGCTCCGAAATCGGCCTGTAAGAGACATGCCCTTTCTAAATGGTTGTCTACTAAATGCAGAAGTAAGTAATGCTGAGATTATAGGGATTTAGTGAATGTGTTTGTAAGGTATTGCTTTAATTCTTTCATATTTATACGTTTTTAGGTTTTTCAGAAGTCGTGGGGTGAATATTCATTGGTTAAAAATGACTACTCTTGAAATTTTAGAAACCAAAGGTAGGTGTTCTTTTGATGATAATCATTTTTAAAACATGGAATTTATGACAATATGAAGCAGTGTTTGAGCCATGTAACAATCTCATAGAGCCCTTCAGAGTCAGTTTTGTGGAGGATCTCTTCATTTGTTTTGTAGTGCAGTGTTTACATATCAGTACAGCAGATATGCAATTAAATGTTCACATTATGTAGTAATTATTAGATGATTACTACTGTTAAACATTTAGTGTTAAATGTTTCATAGCTATGTTCTCTACCCACTAGAAGATTAAATTTTAAGTAAGCAAAAATACTCATTTTTAAAGGTTTAAGTAGATGGGCAAATTACCTAGTAGGTATTAAAGACCTCTTTTTCTTATTGTATTGGCTTGCTAGGGCTACTTAACAAAATACCATAAACTGGTGACTTAACTGAAATTTATTGTCTCTGAATTCTGGAGGCTAGAGTCCAAGGTCAAGGGGTTAGCAGGCTCATACTCTCTGAAGGCACTGAGGAAACATCTGTTCCAGGCCGCACTCCTAGTTTCTTGGTAATTTTTAATATTCCTAGACTTGTAAACACGTCACCTAAACTCGGTGTTTATGTTCACATGGTGTTCTCCGTTTGTGTGTATTTGTATGTCCAAATTTCTCATTTTTATAAATATAGCAGTTATATTAGACTAAGGGCCCACCTTACTCCAGTATAAACTCATCTTAACTGGCAGTTGGCGTCCCAAGACTGCCCACCTGTGACTATGCAGATATTTCTTTTCATAAACCTGTTCCATTGAGGGGCAGATCTTTATGCTCTTTTGTATCTGTGTAAGCATCCTCTCCTTTCCTTATATAATAAACCTGCCCTTTTGAATATTAAAAAAAAATTTAATGAACTCATCTTAATTATATCTACAATGACTCTTTTCAAATAAAGGCCACATTCTGAAGTATAGAGGGTTAGAACTTGACCATATATACTTGGGGGACAGGAAAGGACATTCAATTCATGGCATTTATTACTACCATGGTTACTTTTTAGTCCTGCCTTGCTTATCCTTTCCTGCAACATTTCATCCTGTTAATCATTCCCAATTTTTTAAATACTTTGAAATTCTTTACTTCCTTGACACTACTCTTTATCTACTCCTCTCTTCACTAGCCTAAGGACTAGCCACATGTGGCCATTTGGATTTCAGTTAATATATTTTCAAAGTTAAAAATTCAGTACCTCAGTCACACTAGCCACTTTTCAAGTGTTCACTTACCACATGTGCTGGTGAGTTTTGTATGGGAAGTGCAGATACAGAACATTTCCATAACTACCCAGAGTTCCACTGGATACTGCTGCTCTAACAACATTTCTCTGTTGTTGTTTTTTTCATCTTGCTCTTCTGGTTTGTCTCTTAAATATTAATGTTTCTTAGCCCTTTTTCTCTTCTACTCTCAGGTTTTAGTATCTATAAGAATGATTTCCCAATTTATAGCTCAGGTCTATTCCCTTATGATTCAGATCTTTGAAGTCAGCTGACCATCTTCACTTGGACATAGATCACAGTCTTAGCATGTCCCAAAGTGAATTCCTTCTGAGTCAGGTTATTCTTGGGTGGAAAGAGTTGTAGATATTACAAGATGGAAAACTAATTTCTAGAAGTCAACTTTGCAGCAAGCCAACCCCTAGCAGCAAACTCTTTAAAGAAGGCTGAAATACATTTAACAAGAAGCAAGGAAGAAAGGATCATGTCTGTAATATTTAATTGAATTTAATTTAGCTGTGTGCAGCAGCATTTCAGAGTCACCAGAAGGCTTTTATATTATTAAAACAAGCAAAGCAGAGATTGTTCTGATACTAATAAATAGGAAATTAATGGGAAATAAGAGCAATTAAATAATTAATGTGAAAGCAGTTAGCCCAGTGTTTGACAAAAAGCAAAAACTAAATACAGTATTATTAGTGATTAATAGTTAGTTATTGTTGGGGCCTCCCCGGTGGCTCAGCAGTTGAGTGCTGGGTTGCGAAGCTGCCCGCAGCCTCTGCAGCGCAGGTTCGATCCCCGGCCCCGGGTTGAGGGTCCCACATGATGCGCAGACCTCTCCTGCTGCCCGCTGCTCCCCCTAGCGGTATACTTCCTCAGTCTGCCTGCTCTGTTCTCCCCTCTGGCTCTGGTGAATTCTCTCACCCTCCCATGCTTCTGACTGTACCCAGTGCTTGTATAAATAAATAAATAAATCTTTAAAATAAAAGTTATTGTAAGGCCTCTGTGAAATTAATTTTTCATTATTTACTACTACTTGTTTGTAATAAGGCATGAGGTTTGTAGCATTATAAAATACTTCCACAGACATTATTTCATTTAATCTTAATTTTACAATAAGGAAGGTAATTCAGCTAACAGTCCTACTCCTACCTAATATAATGTTAATTGTTGTCAGTAACCAAAAGTTACTTGTATGGCCTATGAATATGTGCATTTGTCATGTTTGACATTTGTCAGTTGCCTGCACTTCCTGTTACTGCCTCAGAAGAGGCGCAACCTTGTCTCATAGTGACCAAACTTCCTCAGCTGATACCTGAACAATACTGTCATCATGAGAGGGATTGCCATTGCTGCTAGAGCTGTTTCTTAAAGGGAAATATAGAAAAAGAAAAAAAAGAACAATTAAAAAATTAGAATTTGAGGGCCTCCCTGGTAGCACAACAGGTTGAGTGCCCTGCTGTGAAGTTGCCCGCAGCCTCTGCAGTGCGGGTTCAATTCCTGGCCAGCCAGGGGGATTCCCACATGACGCAGCAAACCTCTCTTATCTCGCCTGCTGTTCTCCTCGCAGTGCTTTCGGTCTGTCTGCCTCTTCTGCTCCCCACTCTGTCTCTGGTGAATCCTCTCACCCTCCCGCACCTCTGGCCTGTACCCCAGCTATTGTATAAATTAAAAAAAAAGAAAAATTTTTTTTTAAGAAATTAGATTTTGAGTCCAAAACTTTTCTTGGGTACAAGATCAAAATTAAAGGTATCAAACCTCCCCGGTGGCGCAGCAGTTGAGCGCTGGGTTGCGAAGCTGCCCCCAGCCTCTGCAGTGGCAGTTCCATTCCCCGCCTCTGGGCGAGGGTCCCACATGGTGCACAGACCTCTCCTGCTGCCCGCTGCTCCCCTCGGTCCTTCTGCCTGCTCTGCTCTCCCTTCTGGCTCTGGTGAATTCTCTCACCCTCCTGCGCTTCTGACTGTACCCAGTGCTTGTATAAAATAAATAAATCTTAAAAAAAAAAATTAAAGGTATCAAAGTGAGACAGTTTAATGAAAGTAGGCAGAGTAGAAAAGTCTTGGACACTAAAATTATTCCCAAAAAATAGTCTAACTTAACATCAGTCCTATAGAATGATAGGTGAAAAAGGATTCCAAGGGCAGGTCCATTTGGGAAATGCTGAATTAAAGGAAAGCTGCACTACACGACCTCTCAGGACCTTTAATATACCTGTGTACTCGGAGAAGTTCCAAAGAGAGAGAGCATGCAGCATTGCCCACACTCTTTTGACCAGGAAACCCTATTCCTGAAGCCTGTGACAACAGAATGTTTGGATTCCACATCAGTAAATGTCTAAGTCTGACTCTTAAGCCCACCATTTATAACATTTCTTATTAGTTTGGTTCCCTTCAAAGCATGTAAAAGTAACTAACAAAACTTTATTAGTCATGTTGACATTTAAAAATCTATTGATTTTAAATTATGAGGCAACAAACCCTAACTTGTTTAAGTGTTTTATAACTGAATTTGCATATGTTCTGAAAAGTTTATCAAGTTATAACTGTTAGGAATTAATGATATGTAAGGAAGGGGGGAGAAATTAAGCAGCTATTACATGAGTTAGCTATTAGATGTTAAAATGAAATCTAGAGAATGTGTTAACATTGATGAATTTCATTTCATACGCTTCATCTTTTCTATGTCAAGCACCATTTCATTAAGGTAGTGATACAAGAATTAGGAGGCAGTCTCTGCCCTGAGGAACAGTCTAGTCTGTGAGAGAAACAAATTAAGTTATTCAGTTATTTGCATAATTCTGAAAGCACTGACAGTTGAGAGGAAGGTAATGTTAAGTGATTTGAAGGAAGTCACAATATGTGTGGAAGTAGGGACTTCAGTTATTTTTACTTCATCTGGTGTTCTTTCTCCTACATTGTCCTGCATCAGTCTTCATGGATTTATAATTTTATGAAAAAGGAGAAATGTTCATTTAATGACAGACTATAAAATCATTTTTCCCTCATTATTCTAAAACAAGAGTTTGTCAAAATATGGCCCTCAGACCTCCTGAGAATATTTGCAGTGTCTGATTAGGAACACCAATTTTGAATCTGGCATAAGTGTCATTTCAAATAAAAAGGATTCTCATTTTTAGAATATTACTACAGAAAAACTTTACTCAGTTGTTGGTTTTGTTTTTCATCCATGAAAATTTGTTTTTCCTCTTCTTACATAAGTACCTGTATAGTATCTTCATTTTTGCCTCATGTTCTACAAAGTCTTAAATACTTACTATCTGGCCCTTTATAGAAAAAGTTTGCCAATTTTTATTTGTTCTTTCCCTACATTTAGCCAGTCTTTGGAGAAGGCATTGCGAGTGAGTCATAAACCTTAGATGTATTATAATAAGTGATCACAGGTAGAAGCAATGTTGATGAATAATTGAAGAAATGTTTTTTGGTTTCCTTCAAAGAGTGTAGAAGAATAGGAGTTGAAGTTTTGCTTAAACATTACTCATAATTATGGAGGTGGTATCATAGATCTTTGCTTTCTCATTTGAGAGGAGGTAAAGATTCATGATGTGTCCTGGATTGTGTCTAGTACTTAGGTAATAAAGGTTTCTATGTGTGTCACAAGGAAAATAGAATTATGAAAGGTAAGTTACTGGGTAAGAAAAAGTAGAGTCCCACCTCAACTGTCTGCTTGCCCCTACCCCTTAGCTAGAAGCACACTTGTTACAGAGAAGGAGTTCCCATGGGATAAGTAGTGCAGCTTGGGTACACTCATAACTGCTTGAGTAAGTAGAACAGTGTAAATAAAGTTAAAACGAAACTGAAGTTGAACCAAAATAGTTGAATTTGATTGGAATAACATGACATTTTCTTTGAAAAGAGATTTCTGTTAAATATCCATTACTGTGTCATTGACTTAAAATATAGCATTCACCATCTTATGATTTTTTTTTTTAATCTCCATTACGTAAGACTCAAAATGTTCTGACTTTCCTAGAAATCCTAGTTAAGCACAACAGAGTGTCACATCTGCCTCCTGTTTCTTCAGTGGACCTCATTTATTATTTTTATTTTTACTAATATGTAGTTAATAAATATGTATTATTTTGTAAGTGCCAAAAGATCTTAGTAACAAGATTAAATTTACATTAGATAGGATTAGACAAAATTAAAAGCAAATTTTAAGAACATGGGAACAGGCCTTTATTTTTAAAAAGAGCTCAGAGTCAATTCTTGAGTAAATGTTCTACAGCATGAACTAACATACCAAACCCTTTAGTTCTCTTTCTGAAGTATTCCTTTGTTCATCTAGTAGTCTCAGTTTTAAGGCCCAAGGGATGTTTTAGTTTACATTTAATATGTAGAAATGATGAGATATGTTACTGTAATTAAAACATTCTATAAAGTAGAACACATTAATTAGACCCCCAAATGCCTTTTTACCTCCTAATAACTAACATAACTCAGGACTTTCAATACATTGCTACATACATAAGAGAATTGCAGAAAATTCTGTTAAATGAAAAAGTAGTCCTAAAGTCTAGTGATAGAATTTTATAAGATTTTACCATAAGGTAATAAAAGTCAGAATTAAATTTAAGCTTTCTTTCACTCTTTAAATAGGATCAAAGTTTATTAGAGATTTTTTAAACGATAATAAGAGCAATAGGAGCTAACATTTACTGAGCATTAACTATTCCAACCACCATTCAAAACTCTTAACATGTTTACTTATTTACTTTTAAGCATTGCATACAATCATAAATATTTAACAAGCCCCCCCCCCAAAAAAAAACCAAACAAATAAGGACATAAGGAGTAGACCTACTCATTAATTAGCAGAGTTATTTTGAGGCATTTTGACAATTCATATTGTCACCTGTCCCATTAATTCTATTTTTGAGAATTTACTCAAGAAATTCAGTTGAAAAAAATCGGTAGTGAACATAAAAATGTTCACTAAAGCATTATAATGAAGTGGAGTTTTTAGACTCTTTAGTCTAAATTAATATAATCATTAATAATGTTATCTTGGGGTAAGGGGAAGCAAACATTGTTTAAAAATGAACAATGATGTAAAAAATAAAAAAATTAATAAAAAAAAGTTATCTTACCTTGAAGACACAATATGACCATAAAATGGAAAATAAGACCATAGCAAAATAGAATATAAAGTAGAAGCTCAATTCCTAGGGAAAGTATTCTTATATGGTATTTCCCTTGCTATAGAACACTCTGACCGGTAATTTTTTCAACATTATCCTGAGCAAGTTTATCATTCCCTCTGGATTTCTGGCTAGAGAATTACATTTTTTAGGACCACAACCTGAGAACCAAGATAACAGCAGTCTCTGCTTGAATTTGGAATGTTTATATGTTGTACATCCCTCTTATACAAATTCTAAATGTAGTCTAAAATGCAGTCATTCTAAGTATAGAGTAAAGCATGCCTTGGCATTTTCCTAGCTTTTCTTTAGTAAGTAGCATTTCCTTTCCTTTTTTCAGTCACCCTTACTTCAGCCCCAATCCGAGGAGCAGGAGATGGAATGGAAACTGAAGAGCCACATAAATCTGTTGAAGTTCCTTCTGGAGTCCAGCCCATAAAGCATCACATCCTTCAGAGTCCACAAAAGAAAGCAGTTCCCTCAGAGAGCCCAGGAGTTCTTCAGCTAGGGAAAATTCACACTGAAAAAGCAGTGGAAGTCGAAGCTGTAAGATTATTAGTTCCCAAAGCTGCTATAACCCATAATGTCCCCAACAAAAATGCAAAGGTAAAGTCTCTGGGACTTCATAAAGAATTCCTTGGTCAGTTGGAGGGAACTGCAGAACACAGGAAGGAACTCTCAGAGGTAAAGAATATATTGGAAAAGCTCAAATCTTCTGAAAGGAGGTTACTACAGGAAAAAGAAGGTCTTCTAAACCAACTCCGAGTACAGACTGAGGTAAGAACAGCCTTAATAGCTTTAATGGGCACTGCTTTTTATACCTGGACTTCCTAACTCTACATTCTTAGAAAACTGTATATCCTCTTGGGAATGTCATTCAAGGTTTATTAACATTGTCCCATGTCACAGAGTATTGCTATTATTAATAGCAATAATGTTCTTCAGTGGCTGCACCATATACCAAAACATATTATTGGATTTTTATGTTTTAATTTGTTTTCAATAGCAATGTAAAGAATATGCTTATAGATACACTAAATTGCTTCCTTTGCATTCTTGAAAGTAAAAGTCCTAGGATACAAAGAAATTAATTTTTAAATGTTGAATAAGATTAAGAAAAACATAAAACTTTCTCTGTCATCTTTTTTAGCAAAATGTATTGCTTCAGTTTTCTAATTTTTTGCCTTTGAAGTATTCACTAGAATCATATTATAATTTCTGTAAAGATTTATACTCTTTTTTTTTTAAAGATTTATTTATTTTTATACAAGAACCGGGGTACAGGCCAGATGTGTGGGAGGATGAGAGGATTCACCAGAGACAGAGCGGGGAACAGAACAGGCAGACCAACAGAAATACACTGCTGAGGGGAGCAGCAGGTGAGACAGGAGAGGTCTGCCCCGCCATGTGGGTATTTCACAGCCGGCGGGGATTGAACCTGCACTGCAGAGGCTGCGGACAGCTTCACAGTGCTGTGCTCAACCACCTGTGCGCCACCAGGGAGGCCCAAGATTTATACTCTTATAAAAGGTTCAGTTTATGACCACAGTGACTACAGCTATATATTGGTATGATTTGTATATATTATAAAAGTTAAATATTTAATATCACATTTTGATAAATACTTTTAAGTGACAGAGACCCAAGTTATACAGAAACACAATTTCTCTTTTTTTCCTTTATTGACAAACATTTGTTTACAATACTGTATATGATTTATAAAGATAGATTCACACCATGTCAGATGTATATTGGCACACCACACCCACACTCCCAACTCCCACAGTCCTTTATTATAGATAATTGTGTCCTCTCCCACCTTTATTCTCATCCCTACCACTCCCCCCCCCCGCCATCTAGTATCCTCAGTTCTGCAGTCATATTTCTAAGGTTTATTTTGGTTCAGTTTTCTCATTTCCTTTGAGAAAGTTTCTTTTTCATTCATTTTGTTAATGTTAAATTCAGTGACATTACGTTGAGCCTATGGTATTGGTCATGTTCTCTTCTAGGTTAATCGTGAGTTAAAAAAGTTGCTGGTGGCTTCTGTTGGGGATGATCTTCAGTATCACTTTGAACGTCTAGCTCGTGAGAAAAATCAGCTTATTTTAGAAAATGAAGCCCTAGGTCGAAACACAGCTCAGCTTTCCGAACAGCTAGAACGCATGTCAATACAATGTGATGTATGGCGAAGTAAATTCCTCGCAAGCAGGTATTTTCTGTTTTAAATAGTATTTCATTTTCTACTTTTTGTTCTATCAGATTTTTGACATATAACACAAGAAAGTAGATTGTAGTGGACAATTTCAAACTGTCAAAGTACTTCATATATTACTTAAGATGTGGACTCACCCTCCTCTGGATGGTTACAGTCTCCCTAAATGGAGAAGTGGTATCACAAGAATCCTCCCTCATTCCAAAAATCTCAGTTACTACATACAGTAGAAAACACTCCTAATCAATTTTGAGACCAAAACAAAACTATAAACTCAGACATCTAATATATATTAGAATCATACAAGAAAATCCAAACTAAATTATTTTTCCCCATCTTCTACTGGGAAAACTCAAAAACTGCCACTCAGTGAGATAATATTACTTGTCCTTTTTGCTCTGTTCTCATAGTTCTTTTAACTATATAGAAGAGCTTCCCAACCTTTTTCTCCCCATATACGTTCGTATGGCATACTGAATGAGAAGCTACTTAAACAGGTAAAAACTTTAGAGTCCCAATTCAGGCACATGGGCACACTGGCATTTGGGAAACTGCCCTATATTATGATTCTTCCTTCGTATGTTTATTCCCTCCTCCTTCCAGCTGAGTTACTAGAGAACAGGATCTGGGTTGTTATCTGTGTATTTCCAGTACTTAGTCAATTGCTCCATACATACTATGTTCAATAACTGTTGAAATTCAGTAATCTGGAGAGATCTTATAAAATAAAACACCAAAGGTTTCCAGGCTGTATCTTGAGAACCAATGGTTATGATGAATAAATTTTTAGAAAAATATTTCATGTCTTAACATCTGTGATGTTTTCTTATGATTGATCATTCTCTTAAAGTCCTTAATTTGTTTTCCAATTGTGATATTTGAAGAAATGAGCTCGTTTATTGACTGCAAGTAAAAGTTAATTAATTCTCATTCAACAGCTTAAGGGGCAATCATGCATATATTATACAGCTTATTATAATATATAATTTTTTAACATTCTGATCAATGCTGATAGTAATATTCTCTCTTTTTTAATGCATATAAGAACTGGCTGTAGGCAGAGATGTGGGGGATGAGAAGATTCACCAGAGACAGGGTGGGGAGCAAAACAGGAGTATCTATTGAAATACACTGCTGAGGGGAGCAGCTAAGGGGAGACAGGAGAGTTCTGCTGCACCACTTGTGGGTGAGCTCCCTGACCCAGGATCGAACTCATGCTGCAGTGGCTGGCAATACCTTGACAGCGCTGAGTCTTTAATCTGGGCCACAAGGGAGGCCCCACCACTGATAGTAATATTCTAAGGCAATAAATAACAATTAAATTCAACTTTATGGATATTTTCATCGATTTAATCTTTCAATGTCAAAATTGTTTTCATTTTAAAGAATTCAGTTATTACTATGGTCCAAGACTTTAGTTTTAAGATTTTTAGTTAAATAAACATACTTAAATTTTTGCTTCAGTTCCATCAATAGATAACTGGTTTGGTAGATTTTGGTACATCCAATCGGAAGAAAGTATGAAGTTCCTTTTCTTTAAAAGGAGCTTTATAAGATAGTTCTCTATATGCTAATATGAAAAAAAAAAAATCACCAAGATAAATTATCAAGAAAAAAAGCAAAGTATAGAAAATGTTGTATTAAATAATCCCTTTTTGTAAAGAAAATAGATATATATATTTTTTTTTTTAAATAAAGGCATGTTTTATTTATTTATTTGTTGTTTGTTTGTTTGTTTGTTTTGTTTATACATGCACTGGGTACAGTCAGAAGCGCTGTAGGGTGAGAGAATTCACCAGAGCCAGAGCGGGAAGCAGAGCAGGCAGAAGGACCGAAGTACACTGCTGAGGGGAGCAGCGGGCGGCAGGAGAGGTCTGCGCGCCATGTGGGACCCTCCTCTGGTGGCCGGGGAGCAGCCAGGGATCAAAGCGGCGCCGCAGAGGCCTCGGGCAGCTTCGCAACCCAGCGCTCAACCGCTGTGCCACCAGGGAGGCCCGATATATTTATTTTTAACACATACTTGAATGTGCATTATTTTTTTCTGAAAAAATGTGTAAGAAAGTGTACTGGCTACAAATAAAAGATAAATGTGGATGTTGGACAGACAGGAGGACAGACTTAGTTTTGCCTTTATATAAGCCTTATTCTGTTTTAATGGTTTTCTAAGGGCAAAGAGGTAATTGAGTGGTATAAAAATACTCATTTTGTTTTCCTCTAAAATTTTGTTTTTGAAAAAAGTCTATTTTTTGGGCCTCCCTGGTGGCTCAAGGAGTTGAGCACATGGCTGTGAAGCTGTCTGCAGCCTCTGCAGCGTGAGTTTGATCCCTGGCCAGAGAGCTACCCACATGGCGCGACAGACCGCTCCTGCTTGCCCGCTGCTCCCCTCAGCAGTGTACTTAGGTCTATCTGTCTGTTCTGTTCCCTGCTCTGTCTCTGGTAGATCGTCTCACCTCGCACACCTCTGGCCTATACCCCAGTTTTTGTAATCATAAATAAAATAAATCTTTTTAAAAAATACTATTTTTTCAAAATTTGATCAACCTAAAGTAAGGTTGAAGTACATTCCAAAAGTCACTATGTAGGAAAATTAAACATTTCCTCTGTCATTTTGTAAAAATATTTTAATTGAGCCCCTTTAGCCAGTTCTAAGCTTACAGACATTTTAAATGTTTTAGTAAAGAAGTAAAAAATAAGTACTTGACTATGTTAGATCTTATTTGAAAGTTTTAAAAATGACAGTCACGGAGGTATTATATCAACTTGTCTTATTGCCAGAGAATTTATGCAAGTCTTTACTCTTTTCCAGAGTTATGGCAGATGAGTTAGCCAACTCCAGAACAGCTTTACAGCGCCAGAACCGTGATGCACAGAGTGCTATACAAGACCTCCTGAGTGAGCGGGAGCAGTTTCGTCAGGAAATGATAGCTACCCAGAAGTAGGACAATTGTTTACATTCTGAACTCTTCTTTCTCCTGCAGTTGTTATTATTGTGATAGTTATTTGGGGTTTCTACATTATTAACTTGCTGAGCATATGCTTTGTATAACGTTTTAAAATAGATGCCCAGGGGAGAGAGGAAGAATATAAAAAAATAAGACATGCTTCTTACATTCTTAATTGGGGAGAGAATAGTTATAGCTACATTAGAAGAAATCTATATTAGAGAATATTTATAGCTACATTAGAAGAAATATAAATTATGCAGTTTTGTATGATTTTTGGTAGAGCCAAAAAGTGTACCTAGGCTTTCCTTTGTAAGGAGCTCTTTATGTGGAGGACTCTTTCTATGATATCACAGCCTATGCTCATGGCCATATGCTCTATGAACTATCAAAATTAATGGTCCTTCTTGAAACTGCTTTTTATAACTGATTTATTATAAATCAAGTCAGTAAGGGTCAACAGGGAAATTAGAAGAATGAAAACAATATGTCCAAATAGCAGATTTTGTGGGAGGCAACTAAAGCAGTGTTTAGGGGGAAATTTATAGATTTAAGTACTTAGCTTAAAAAGGAAGGAAGTTCTCACCAGTAATCTTCCTTAAAAAACACATAAAACAAATTAAGCAGAAGGAGGAAAATAGTCAAGATGAGAGCAGAAATGAATGATGGAAAGCCAAGTGCTGTTTCTTTGAAAAGATGAATTCAAGAAACCACTAGGCAGTATCATCAAAAGAAAACAGATACACATTACCAGTATCAAGAATGAGGAGGGTGGACAGTACAGATTCCATTGACATAATAAAGAAAATAAGAGGATATAATGAACTACTCTCTCTATGCCAATATATTTAACAACCTAAGTGATAAATGAATTGGTCAAAATTCTTAAAAGACACAAACCTGATAACACAAGAACAGATAACCTGAATAGCCCTAACCTGTTAAAGCAATTGAATTAGTAGTTAAAAACCTTCCAGTAATGCAAACTTTACCTATCAATAGATGGATTCACTAGTGAATACTGGCAAACATCTCAGGAAGAAACAGAACCAAACTTACACAAGCTCTTTGAGGAAAGAGAAGAAAAGGGAACAATTTCTAACTCATTTCTGACACCAGCGTTTTCTTGATACCAAACCTAATGTCTGATGTCTCTCATGAACATAGATGTTAAAGATCCTTAATAGAATTTTAGTGAATCAAGTCTAACAATATATAAAGGTTTACACATCATAGACCAATAGGTTCTAAACCAAGATTAGTGGGTTGGTTTATCATTCAAAAAAATCAGTTAATGTAACACCAAATTAAAAAATACCATTCATGAGTATCTTAGTAGATACACAGATTCAATCAGTGGGTTCTATATGAGTATATGAGCATACTGTAGCTACCCTAAAATGAAAACTAAAAAAAAGTACCTATTTGTTGAGTGATTTCCAGGTAGTAGTGTAAAAATTTGATAAGTGCTTTCTATAGTCTAACTTACTTTATACAAAGCTTCTAATTTATTAAACTCTGAAGGATATGGGAGAAAGTACTGTATGATTTCAAAAATGTTCCTCATTATAATTTATCCTGTTATTAATGTTCAGTATTAATGTGTTCTGTGTAGATTATTGGAGGAGCTCTTAGTCTCCTTGCAGTGGGGAAGAGAGCAAACTTACTACCCTAATACACAACCTCACAGCACAGCAGAACTCGCATTAACAAACCACAAGTTGGCAAAAGCAATAAATTCTCATCTTCTGGGAAATGTTGGCATGAATGGTCAAAAAAAGATTCCATCAGCAGTTGAATTCTGCAGCACCCCAGCAGAAAAAATGGCTGAAAAGGTAAATATTTGTCATTAGCGATAATGTGGAACTTCTAAACTATCCTTTTACTGAAAGGCAGCAGATTATAATGGGAAATGTTTGCACTGGGTGTTAGGAAACATGAGATTGAACCTGATTCTCATGCTCATGAGCTTGTAATCTTAGAGAAAAGTATTTCCTCCTCGGAACTTTACTCTTCCTGAACATTATTACTCTACTCCAGAAAAAAGCTGTAATTGTCTTTAAAGAAGGTCTATTTTTTTAGCTACTGTGAATCATTGATAATCATTTTCTGGAATTCATTTTGATATGAAAAGCCACTGTATAGAATTTTTCATTTATAGGGCCTCCCCGGTGGCACAGCGGTTGAGCGCTGGGTTGCGAAGCTGCCCGTGGCCTCTGCGGCACCGGTTCGAACCCTGGCTGCTCCCCGGCCACCAGAGGAGGGTCCCACATGGCGCGCAGACCTCTCCTGCCGCCCGCTGCTCCCCTCAGCAGTGTACTTCGGTCCTTCTGCCTGCTCTGCTTCCCGCTCTGGCTCTGGTGAATTCTCTCACCCTCCCGTGCTTCTGACTGTACCCAGTGCATGTATAAACAAAACAAACGAACAAACAAATAAATAAATAAATAAATAAATAAAACATGCCTCTATAAAAAAAAAATACACATTTAAAAAAAAATTTTTTTCATTTATAATCAAGAGTCAGAATTGGTTACTTCTGATTGAAGATGTTATTTGTCTGTTCCCACATATGATAGGAAAGTGCCAAATATTGCAGAATCAGTTAGGGTAGACCTGTACTACCAGTCATGGGTGAATTCAGGGTTCACAAGAGTTCTTCCTGTTGTGGATCTCAGAATTGTCAGAGTACAATAAATTGGAGAGCATTTTGTCCATGAAATCCAAGAAACAAGAACATGGTTGTTCACATGAAATAGGGATATAAATTAGAAAAAGAAACGAAAAGCCATTGATTCTACAAGTAAATTATCAAAAACTTTGAAATAACATCTCAATAGAAGAATAAAAGCAGTAATCTGATTCCAAGCAGTTGAAAGAAAGATTGAAGGGAAAAGTAGTGGGTACTTTTTGGCTAAGGATAAAAATTGACATCGCTTAAGGTAGAATTGTTATAACCTATCTATGTTTATATGCTTTTTCATTTTCATAAGAGAACATTAACCTAATTACTAAACATAATTGTTAAATTTAGAGCCTTTCGAGAAAAAGGATAAGTTTTCTAATCAAATTCACCATTAAGATGTTGTTTTTTTTTTTTTTAAAGATTTATTTATTTATACAAGAACTGGGGTACAGGCCAGATGTGCGGGAGGGTGAGAGGATTCACTAGAGACAGAGCGGGAAACAGAACAGGCATACAGACTGAAGACACTGCTGAGGGGAGCAGTGGGCGAGACAGGAGAGGTCTGCCACGCCATGTGAGTTTCTCCCTGGCTGCCCAGGAATGGAACCGGCGCTCCAGAGGCTGCAGACAGCTCCACAGCACAGCGTTCAACCTGCTGTGCCACTGGGGAGGCCCCAGATGTTACTTTTTCATGGTAGTAACATATTTGTGAAATGGAACTTTACAAGTATAATGCAAGCATTTTACAGTACCTACTGTATACGTCTGATGGTTACTTCTTATTTTCTTTAGGTTTTACGAATTTTGGACCCAATTACATGTACAGAAAGCTCACCTGATAATCCATTTTCTGAGTCTTCGCCAGCCACCTTACTTGCTGCAAAGAAAAAGATTGGACGATTTCATCCTTATACTAGCTATGAAAATATAACTTTCAATTGCTGTAATCACTGCCAGGGAGAACTTATTGTCCTTTAACATTCATTATATTGGAGGTATGCTGTAGGCATTTGCTAATCATACAAGAGTCACTATGATTTGGGAGCTGGGGTTCTTATATTGCTAGTCAGATCATTTTCTATTTCATTTTCTATTTAAATAATACATATCTCCAAAGATATGTCATGTACTGGACTCCAGATTACCCTTTCTTAGTAAAGATTTCAGGATAAGAAAAGTATGAAACTGTCTAGATACATTTAAAGTAGGAAATACTTTCCAAGCATCACATGATGTTTTTCCTACAGGATTCAAAAAGAAAGATTTTATAACCTCTCCTAACTTTTCCTTTAGGCTTCCTCTAAGTTATTATGTATCTTACTATTTTATATAAGCAGATAATCTAAAGCAAGGATTGGAAAACTATGGCCATGGTTCATATGTATCCACACCCATTCATTTACTGTCTGGGTTTTTTGCACAGTAACAGAGTTGAGAAGATCCCACAGGGTTTGTATAGTTTGCAAATAGGGATGGTCCTTTACAGAAAAAGTTTTCTGATCCCGAGTCTAAAAATAACCAGAGGACTGGGGAGAATGTTATTTCCCTTTTTGGTAATTTCTGGGCTATAAATGAGGCTTATGGAAATATTATGGGTGAAGGAACTATTTTAAAAAAAATGCTTCATGTTAGAAAAATAAAAATACTTTACAGCTGCATTGACAAGTGCTTTGGCAAAACATGTTTTCATGTTGGTTTTGTGCAGGGGTTTCCATATTTTGAATTGATACAACCTGACACATAACAGGAGAAAAAGACATACAATGGCCAATAAGCACATCAAAGATAATTACACATCACAATTAGGGAAATGCAAATCATTATCACTGCACACCCATCAGGACAGCTGCTATCAAAACAAGCAAAATAACAAATGTTAATAAGAATGTGGAGAAAATGGAATCCGTTGCATTGCCAGTGAGAATGTAAAATGGTTATAGCTATTATTGACGATACTGTGGCAGTTGCAAAAAGTTAAACATAAAATTATCAGATAACTGAACAATTTCACTTCTAGGTTGATATCCAAAAGAAGTGAAAGCAGAAATTCAAATAGTATTTGTATACCAAAGTTCACAGCAGTGTTATTCATAATAGCCGAAAGGTGAAAGTACCTCTGGTGTCCTTTGATAAATGGATAAATAAAACGTCGTATATACATCCAAAAGAATATTAATTCTTAAAAAGGAATGAAAATCCAAGATAAGCTGTAGCATAAGTGAGCCTTTAAAACATTGCAATCAGTGAAAAAAGACGTAAAGGGACAAATAATGTATGATTCTTCTTATATGAAATAATCAAATTCAAAGAACAAAAAAAAAACTATTTGCACTTACAATTTCAGCAAAGTGGCAGGATACAACATCAACACACAAAAATAATTCATCTTTGTGGTTTGAATAGACAACCCAAAAAAGAGATGAAGAGAACAATTCCTGTTGCATTAAAATGCAAAAAGAATATTTATGAAAAGGTGAAAGACTGGTACACTGAAATTCCAGAATATTGCTGCATTAGATGAAGAAGTGATCTGTGTTTGTGGATTAGAAGACATTACTAAAATGCTGTTACTAATCATTTATGTTTAGCTTTCTCCTCCACTCCTTAAAAGCTCTTAAACATGTGAAGGGTGCTATTCCTCTATTGATTCCTATATTGATTCAAATATTTTGCATATGTACCAATGTATGCAAGGTTTCTAACTAAGAGAAAGGATTTTGCAACCATATAGATCAGAGTGACCTGCTCACCTCTATAGTTTTCTCATCTGCAAAATAAGACTAATTTGAGTTATAAGGATTATATCAAATTATGCAAAGAATCTTTAACAATACCAGGCACATTATAAACTCTCAATAAGGGTTAGTTTTCTAATATCTAAGATGGAATTACATATAAGTTTATCTTTAAAAAAAAAAAACAAACAAACATGGGAGTAGACCTGCCCTATTGCCTAGCTTGCCACAGCGAGGGCAAGTCTAGGGCCAAGTCTAGGGCCTTGAATCAGGCTTGTTTTAAGAGGTCAATCCTGCTTATATCCTATTGCAATTTTTTTAAGTGACAGTATGTCCTAAGAATAAAAATTTGTCCCTTTTTGTGTTCTTTCCAGCTAGGAGTGCTAAAATAATTTAAAATTTAAAAGTAAAGGACTGTAGTTTATTCAATCTGTTGCATATACTAAGAGATGGTATAACACATAATAAAACTTCAAGAGAAGAAATTTATTTTGTTCTAGTATTAAAGATAAAATTCCCTTCCAACATGACCAAGGTATAAATACTACTTCCCTAATTTAGAATATGACAAAAGTACATGGGCCATAAGAAATAATATCAAAAATTTTGAAGATAGCAGCTTCCAAATGAAGTATTTAATAGATACCTTCAGTTGTAAGGATCAGTAAAACGGAAAGATTTGGCTTCTGACATATATAGGTGGTTCTGAAACTGTTTAGCACGCTTTGCTTCAAGTTGGAGCTGTCTGGTCCTTTCTTTGGCTGCTTGTTGCTCTGCTAGCTTTTCTATCCGTTTCCTTCTTAGCCATCTGTAGAAAGAAATATTATCTGATCAACCTGAATAGTCTTCATGCCTCTTCATTGAAATATTGAGGTTAACACAAATTAGTGAAGTATTAAATGAAAAATTTCAAGTTTATATACTAGGTTCACACAAGAAAGAATCCACTTTTCAAATTTTGTCTTATAATGAAATTGCCAACATAATATTTTACATGAGACATAGCTACTATCCTTTTTGGGAAAAAATGGCTTTCTAAGCAATTTTATTTGATAAGATTTTAAATAACTTGTTTTTTGCAACTATACTTAAAACATTACACTTCACCAGGTTAAGGGCAGTAGCATACAGAAATGTTGCCTTGCTCTTCTTGGTCATTATAGAGCTCTTGCTTTTCAGTACATAAAATAGTTAAGATGGAAAAATAAAGAACATAAGGTGAAGAGTCCATATTCTAACAAATTTAAGTCTATAAAGTTTGCTTTTTGCTTGCTCAAAAAACTACTATACATGCACATCAGGTATATACATATGTATGTGGTATATGTCTATATAATTCTTATCATAAATAATTAAATTGTATTACACTAAGAAAGACAAGAAACCCAATGTTGTGTGGTCCAGCATTGGATGCCAGTTTGAACAAATTATAGTCATACCAGGGCAAAAATGCTTATGGGGTAGATATTAGATGGGATCACTATGAAAATAAGCAGATTACAGAACAATATAAGCACTATTATCTCAATTTACACTTTAAAATTGTAAATAAATGTACAGAGAAACATCCAGAATACATGCACTAAGGTAATAACAGTAGTGATTTCTAGGTAATAAATAAGACTTCGCCTCTCAGTTTCCACATTGTACCTTTACTGCTTATGTTATTATAAAAGGGTTATTTTAAAAAGAAAGAAAGGAATAAAGATTCAAAGGGAAAAAAAAACAGCAAAAAAGACAATGAACTTCCAACAGCTGGACTCAATATTCACTCCCTCGCTCTCCCAAGCCTTGCTGACAAAATTATGAAGTCAGGTACGCTGCCTAAGAATTAGTGAAGTGTAATACAGAGTCTTACCCAGGTAACTGAAAAGAGATCGAGTTTGAGTTAAATTTTACTTAAGTAGGACAAAATGTGTCCAAATATTTTTACTTAGTCTATACAGATCTTCCACAGCCTTTATAGAAAAAATATTTCTTGGTAAATGCAACACTTTATTCAGTTTTTTGAGGACTCTGAGGAAAAATTGTAATCAAACTTTGACCCATTTCTCTAAGAAATGAACAAATCAACTAACAAATAAATATATGGTAGACTAGAGGATTATCATGCTGATTTCATGGGAAACAAGTTTAGGGTTGAAAAACATCTTGAAGACAGTATAGTACAGATACTATGCAAAATACTATGTATTTGAAATACATAGGTATTTAAATAGGTATGTAATGTGAGAGAAAATATTTTGGGTTATTTTCTTTTAAGTTTTATTGACTATATAACTTTCCACAATGACCCTGAGGAAGGAAGGGAAATGCCCTGCCTTTGACTTACTGCTTAAAGGCTCTTTCACGGCCCTCTGTTTCTTTAAGGAAAAATAAGCATTCCTCTTGCTTTCGTAGCTCCTCTGTCTTTCTTTCTTTTAAGTGTTCTTCATGTTTCTTTTTAAGCCATAATCGAAAAGCTAGTTGTGGATCTCTGTTCTCCTGCTGATTGCAAGAACAAATTTTGCTTAATTTAAGTAAGTCAAACCTACTATTTTTAGACCCCACATTTATGATCCTAGGAGAATACATGGCTGACTTATCAAGGTTTCATAATGCCAACCTCATCTGCACTTCGAGTATCCAACTCAAACACATCACCTTTGACTCAGCAACATTGATTACTCTTGATAGAAAATTCAACATTGAACTCACAACTACCTGACTTCTTTCAAAATTCTTACTAAAGTAGCAAGTGAAGGAGGTCCACATGCAGTGATCTGCAAACTTCAAAGTGGAGTGTTCTGACAAAACAGTTTTGCACAACTGCACAAACAAAACAGTTGAAGAAAAGTTGGGGATAGATAGTATGAGTGAAGTCGAAGTCTTGGTAGCAATTACTGAAGGAGCATCATGGAGTACAGTTTAAAATTTTAAAAACCTTAATCAGTTTTTAATGGAAATTACACCAAATATAATTTGGAGAAACCCATATCTTTATAATATTTAGTACACCCATGCAGGAATATTACATTTGTTTTGACCTACCAAATAATTCATATATAGCTCACCCATCCAGGACTATTATATTTTACATTTACCAAAGTCATCTTTTTTTGGTTCCTTGCAAAGCCGTACTCCATTCTCTCTAAAAGTTTTATACATTCCTAATGTATTTTATATATTCCTAAGGTATTTTATATATTCCTATATCCCTTCTCCTTTTGTATTTTTCTGTGAGGTTATTGCTGAAATGCAAGGAGATTATTTATAAAGGAAAAAGTTGTTTAATACTTAGATCTTTTTCTCTTCATAAACTGGATAGAATTCCCAGATTTAAGTTATTTAATATAGAGGGAAGTCTTACCTGTTTCTAACTTTAATAGGTCTGCCTATAGTATTTTCTAAGATAATATCTGTACTGTAACTCATATATTAGGAATTTTGAAAATAAATTATAGTAAATATTAACAAATACCTTTTCTGTATTTTTCAAGATAACTGTGTTCTCTCATTATCTGCTATTGACGTGATCATGAACTTCATGAATAGGTCTTATTGATTCATAAGTCCCTTTTTAAATAAACCCTACTTGAATATAGTCTATTACTATTTTACAATACAGTTGCAGTCAAATTTCTCAACATTTTCCCCTTTAGTTTATGTGTTTTGTGTCTTGCCAGCAAAGGCACTACCTATCCCAAGATTTTAAAAACTAAAAATTTCTATAAGTAACATAATAAGCAATGTAAAAAGTAACATATTGCCAGTTTAGGAAAACATTTACAACAAGTAACAACAGACAAGGATCAAAATCTCTAATATAAAATGCATTAAGAAAAATAAAACAGAAAAAAGTATAAACAGATAATTCACAGACTGCACACATGTTCATTTACACTCATATATACTATTCATATTAATTTGAAAAATCAAGAAGATAACCCATACATAATATTAGTTAGGGTGTGGTAAGCATTCACTGTTGGGGGGATTATAAATTGACATAACCTATTGGGAAGCTATTTTACTATTTAATCAAAAATTTCATTCTGGACATCCAGTAAGTCATAAAGTCCACTGCTAAGAAACTCTTCTACGGAACATCATATTCTACAAAATAAACATGTTCACTACAGTACTGCTAAATAATAGAACAGTAATAGAACCAACATAATACCCACAAATGAGGATTTTTTTTTTTTGGTGGGATCCTCGCCGGCGGCCAGGGAACGAACCGGCTCTGCAGAGGCTGCGGGCAGCCTCGCATCCCAGCACTCAACCGCTGCGCCACCAGGGGAGGCCCAAATGAGGAATTTTTTAATACATTAAAGTTATCTCTGAAAAGAAAATCATGCTGCTATTAGAAAAGAGAGCTCAATAGAATGACCTAGAAACATTCCATGATGAAGAGAAAAAATAATGTACATAACAAATTTTGGGACTGTAAATATAAATAAGACCTAGAAGGATTTGTACAACACTGTTAAAAGTGGCGTTTACTGAAATTTTAGACTAGAAAACTTAGGATTGCATTTTCAATTTTCACTTTATATATGTTTTTTTTTTAAAAGATTTATTTATTTATTTATTTATTTATACAAGCACTGGGTACAGTAAGAAATGCGGGAGGGTGAGAGAATTCACCAGCACCAGAGCAGGGGAACCGAACAGGCAGACTGACAAAATGGAGCAGCAGGCTCAGCAGGACAGGTCTGCGCACCATGTGGGACCGATGGCTGGAATCCAACTGGCACTGCAGAGGCTGCAGGCAGCTTCGCACTCAACTTCTGCACCACCAGGGGAGGCCCTATATATTTCTTTTTTTTTTTTTTTTAATTTATTTATTTATTTATACAAGCACTGGGTACATTCAGAAGTGCAGGAGGGACCAGAGCCAGAGCCGGGAGCAGAGCAGGCAGAGGGACCGAAGCACACTGCTGAGGGGAGCAGCAGGCAGCAGGAGAGGTCTGTGCGCCATGTGGGACCCTCCTCCGGTGGCCAGGGAGCAGCCGGGGATTGAACCGGTGCTGCAGAGGCTGCGGGCAGCTTCGAAACCCGGAGCTCAACCACTGCGCCACTGGGGAGGCCCCCTATATATTTCTTAAACAGTAGGGATATGACCATTTTTCACTCCCTTGGGTTGTCTGTATGTTTCAAATTGGGTGTCTTTGTTACTTTTTGTATAACATTTCTCTATGTCTGTTCTCAACTGAGGCAAGTCTGTGTTTTTGTCTTTGTGTGTCTTTGTATTTGTGTATACTAACTTTGACCTAATTGAATATCAAAGTTATACAACTTTGAAAAAATGTATTTGTAGTTTACCATTTTCTGTGCTATAAAAGTTTGAATAAAACAGGAATTATTTTCTATTTATATGGCTTCTTAGAATGTAATCAAAATCATCTGTATGTGGTATCTTTTGCAAGGATAGTTCCTGGACTCCATTTTCTATTTTTTTTGTAGGGTTCTTTGTCTGATATATTGACTCCCTTATATAAAAAAATTCAGCTTTCATAACTGAATGAAATTATTTTTCACAGAGATATTTAACTTACTCTATTGTTCATGTCTTCAATTTGCTTTGCTCGCTGAATTCTCCTCATTTCTACTACCTGTTCTCTTTTCTTCTGCAACCATGCTTTAAAAACCATATCATTCTCTTTTTTCTTTTCTTTTTCTTCTTCTATTTTTCGTTGTTCTTCCTGGTGGAAATAATATCAAAAGACATTAATGAAAGATTAATAAAAGTGTATAAGAAGGTAAGGGACTAGAGAAACATACTTTGAGATTGAAGGATTCCCTGTCCCTAACACTTTCCTTCTGAAAATTAGACCTCCTTTAAAAACAGAGATTCTAATTTGCTTAGGGAAAAAGAAAAAAAAAACATTGTTCAGATAAATGACACTGTAGAGACAAAGTCTACAATTACACAGATGTACAATACATACATGCTGTTCAGTATTTCATCAGCTCTTTCCTGAACCCCCTAGTTTATATTTGGCATTAAATTCCTCAAATTGTAGCTAACCAAAAGAGAAAAATGATAAAAACTCTAGAAGCACATATGATACCTATCAAGCACTATAAATGTCTTAAACACATTTACAGAGTTAAATGTTTCAGTTATGATGGGAATTGCTGTTGTTACGAAAGAAAACGTATATTGAAGTGTACAGGTGAATGATGATGCGCTGCCTAAGACTTGCTTAAAAAATGTTTCAGCCAAGAAAGGGAGTAGATAAAGCAAATATGCCAAAATGTTAATGACTTTTGAATGTGAGTAATAGGTTTACCCTTATATGTGTTAGAATTTTTTCATTAGGGATGTTTAAAAATATTTTTCAACTAGTGTTTATATTCATAAGGTAACATTTTACTATAAGAAAAATATTTAGACAGTTAACTATATGAACAAAATCAACTTTTTATCTGAATTATACTGTTATAAAATTAAGCAAATATTATAAAAAACAAGGTAATTAAACCAGTTACAAGGATGCTATAAAATAGTTACTGGGAGCAAAGGAGCACACCATAGTAGAAACAGCACCAAGCTACAAGTTGGAACACGTAGGTAACAATCATTCCACGTCAATTGAGCAAACCAATTGACTCAATATTTTCATTTGTAAAATGAAATTATTAATGAGATCTTAAGTCTATTACCTACTAAATTTTTATCAATTAAATGATTAATCCATACTCAAATTTCTTCAAAGAATTCAGAGTCCTTACATTTTGACAGTACAGTAAACCCCTCTAATTCCTTTTGATTAAATAAAATGTAGGAAGGAAAGAAAAATTTCTATCCAATTAATAGCCTAAAATATCTTTTAAAATACCTATATACTATTTTCTAAGCCCTAGAGATACTTGCATTATATAAAATGTGAATGTATTAAAGATTAAATTATATATTTATAAGTTCCTTTTGGACGCCTTATATATATATGAGTACAGGCAGTATGATAGGATGCTAATCTTCCCAGAGAAACATTGAGATATATCACACAGAAGATAGATATTCAGCCAATGTACAGATAATCCAGTTGCCAAAGAGAATGATGAAAAAATGAAACTAGAATAGAGAGACAGAACCTATCCCAGCAAATATTTTGTAGTGCAAAAAGAAAAGAAAAGAAAAGCCTTACCCTGAGACTAAGTAAAAACCATTAAAAAACCTTAGCACTCAAAGACCATGCACTGAGAGGGTATATAAATAAGGGAAATTTAGCCATGAGGATCCTTAGATGAGGAAAGCGTAACCACAACAAAGAACATGTGACAGCCAGAAGAGAGGAACAAAATGAAAATGAAAGTACATACCAGATATGCCCATTAGAGTATCACTATTAGAGTGTTCATTATGGAAAGACATTTCAAAAAAACCCTCTTACATAACTTTTAGAGAAATATTACAAACACATTTAGTGTGTATATAGCACACCAACACACATAGTGTGTGTGTATACAGCAAACTCTATTTCAGTCATTACAACAAAATTTTTTGTCATGAAGTTCAGAATTCACAGATTCTTTTCAGTACCATTATATACCCGCACCAAGTAAACCTGAGTCTGATTGCTAAAGCTCAGATTTTAGAGACCAAGTAAGCAAAACTTTTGTTTGTACTCTTTTAAATTCCTGTCTGAGTGTGTTCCAAGTTACATGTTCTTACTAACTTCATTTTTCGCCTTTTTCTGCTAATGAGAGTTCCATACAGATAACTCACATATAAGTCAAGGAATTATAACCCAAGTTTTTAATGTATTGTGTCCTAAACCCCTACAAATTTGTGACTTAATTTTTTCATCAGATATCTGATTATCACCCAGCTCATTAAGATTACTTTAGAGGTCACTTAACTTCTCTGAGCTTCACTTTAAAATGAAAGGATCAGATGAAGTCATCACTAAGGCCTCCTCGAGTTCTAACAATGGTCAGTCATTACTATGCTTTGGTATCCTTACAAGAAAGGACCAAAGTGATCATGATATTTGTTACTTAAATACAAATTTGTGACACCTACTTCATCTAACAACAACAACAAAAGCAAGCCGATGCACCCAATACTATGAAGAACTATTTTAATATTTACTGTATTTATAAAACATGAAGACATACTCCTTTTCAATATAAAGCCTCCTTATGCTCACCTCTCTCTTTAGTTTTTCTCTCTTTTGTTCTAGTCTTTTTTGAAGTTCTTTCTGTCGAGGGGAAAGACAATATGTTGACTTCACTGGAGATATACAAGCAGACTGTGTCCTAAGAGTAGATTTCCCATTGCCCTTACTTTGATCTGAATTGGTAGCTGAACCTGAACGGATCCTGGGATTAGGTGGTGACTGAGGGTCATGAGCCAGTGGCTCTTCTGTTGATGAGGGAGTGACAGCATGAATCTTCTCAACAGGCTCTTCTTTCTTGACACCATTGACAAATGAGTTTGAAGGTCTGGGTGACACCTGCTGAGGTTCATTTTCTGTAATATTAGCATTATCAATGGGATGCAAAGATCCTTGACTCTCAATGTCTTGTAGGTTCAAAAGTTCAAACTTTCCATCTCTCTCTACTAGTATTTTTCCATCCTTGTTTTCTTCACAACTTCCATCTGTAAGAGATAGGAGCACATTTTCTTGTCTGAATTCATTGGAAATACATATCTCTGACAGTTTGCCAGACATATTACTTTCATTTTCCAAATAATTTTTGTAAGTATCAGTCTCTTCCAGTGGAGGAACTTCCAGATCAACTAATTTGTCCTTGAACTTAAGTTTCCGCTCTCTTTTATCATTCACCGGTTCTTCACTCTGTAGAAGTTTGTTGGCTTGTATAATTTTCTCCATAACATATCTTCTTAATTCTTCATCCTCATCCTCCTCCTGGTCTTTCTGAATTTCCAGTTTAGACTCCTGGAAAGAGTATTCACTGTCTGAATCTGATATGGGATCCAAAGGTTGACTACTGGGTACAGAAATGAAGTCATTTTTTCTTGGTGAAACCCCATCTGTCAAAGAGTTGTCAGGATCGGAAAGCTGTTCTGTATGATCTGTTTCTGGTTTGTTCTCTTTTGATTCGTGGTTAATATTTTCTTCATTCCCACAAACCATCTTAAAAAAAAAAAGATATGAGGTTCTCTATTTCAGTAAAAATTGAGACTTTGTGCACTTATATGTAGACAATCTAAAATGATTTGTAAATTATGAATGAGAAAATGTACGCCTTTCCTGTTCCTATTTTACCCATAATATTCTAACTCTATTTATGACAACCCCAAGGAAAATACATGTGATAATGATGTTACTAAGTGCTACACCGATAATTTAAATTTTTATGTAAATGTATTAAAAGGTAATTATAAATAATAATATTATTTTGAAATTCTTCTCTAAAAATGTTCCTCTCTTTACATTTTCAGAAGAATTTTTTAAATGTTTTCTGCTTATAATATTTGTATTCTCAAAAAAGTATCTTTTCCCCCAAGATCATTACAGGTCTTTCATCAAAACTTTAACATTTTGAGATTCTTACAGTCTTTTCACTGTTGTTGCTATTTTTTGCTGGATCTATATCCAAATTCCAGGTAAAATCTTTGTATCAGATTTTCCTTCTTCAACTATTCTCAGCAGTTCCAAAACCCTATGCTAAACACCATCATATAACATGGTCGAACTTTACTTTTCAATTCCACATGAATCATAAATCAGGATTATCACAAAATCCTACTTCGCAACTGTTTCTAACTAAGGACTTCTTACCCAGCATGTATCCACACATACATCCTCATATATCAAACATTTTACTTCCAACAATGATTTCTTTCTCTTTCTCAAATAATTCTCTTCCTCCTGAAATAGTTCTATGGGAGTTACTACTTACTGCTTCTTCAACCACTTAAAATTCTCTTATTCACATCCTTCTGACAACCTCCTCTTTCCAACAATATGTACAATATTGTTAGATGCCCAAGAAGCAAACCTGGTCTGTTAAAAATACTACCAAATAAGTAAGATCTCTGCATTGCAATTGTTCTTTTTGGGTTTATTTGATTCTCAAATTCATTCCTACGGTATATGTTTCTGAATTCTCCTTTAGCTTTTATTTTTTAAAATACACTACGTTTAAAAAAAAAGAGGCTACTTTTTATAATAAAACCTTCCCCTGATACTCATCCCTGTATCTAGCTCTGTCATCCATGTTTTTCTACCAGCCTCAAAATAAGTGATTACAATCATCAATGGGAATGAGTAAGATTCATGAGATCACTTTCTTTGGACCACTGCTGTATCCTGAATCTCTAGAACCACCTCTAATGCATGGTAACTGATCACTAATATTTGTTGAGTGAATAAAGAAATAAAACACTGAATCATCATCATTTGTCTGTCTCCCTGTGCTTTAGAAATCATTCCCTACCACTATGGGTGTCTACTCCAATATCCACACTGCCTCTACTCATTTGATGATTTTTGGCTAATGATGCATAAAGCTCTCATTTAAAAGTCATTTAGGGAGCCTCCCCATGGTGCAGTGGCACACCAGGTTAAGCACTGCACTATAAAGCTTTCCGCAGCCTCTGCAGCGCAGGTTCAATTCCTGGCCAGCCAGGGAGATATCCACATGGCGTGGCAGACCTCTCCTGTCACGCCCACTGCTCCCCTCAGCAGTGTATTTTGATTGTCTGCCTGTTCTGCTCCCCACTCTGTCTCTGGTGAATCCTCTTACCCTCTCGCGCCTCTGGCCTGTACCCCAGCTCTTGTATAAAAATAAATAAATCTTTTAAAAATAATTAAAAAAATAAATAAAAGTCATTTAGACAAATGTTCACTTTTGATTGTTGCCTTTTTCAAATGTCATTTATTCCACTGGTCTTCTCCATTGCACAAGAAAGCAAGATATAATTAAGAGAAGTTTGCAGTGTAAACTCTGTTGCCTTCATTTCCTCTTTTCTTTAACCCTCTTAAATCTGACTTGTGCTGCAACTATTCTGATCACTGTCCCTCTAAAGCTAACTTCTCGTATACCAGTCATAGTCCCTTTCTTCATTACTCCTCTAGGTACTGACACCATTAATATATAAAATTGTATGTGTAAATGCATACATATGCATACACACACATATATAGACACAAGTATACATTATATACAAAAAATGCACAAACACACTACATATATGTATATATGTATGTATACGTAAAGAGAAAACGAACCTTCCATGACCTAGGAACTGGTTCATTTTCTTCTCTTTCTTTTCTGTATGTCTAATAAATAGTATGTGATCATGTTTAATGAATCTGCTTTTTCCTACAAGTATTCCAGTGTCTCAGTCTTTGACCCTTTACTTTTTCTCTATATTCTTTCCCATGAAGAGCTAGTTCACTCTTAAGATTTCAAATATCAGCTGAAAGACAGTTTCTTGAGGATTTGCTTTATACTTCATTTATATTAAACATATTACCCTATGATTTTACCCATGTTTGTATTACATAGAAACTAACTGTATTTGTTAATGCAATAAATTATATTATTTATTTTATATAAATTATAATTTTAATTTTGTCTTTATAAAAGTGCTAATTCTCTAATTAGCTCTCATAATTCCTCTAATTAGCAAGTTATGATTAATAAGCCCTATGCCTTAGCATATAACATTTAAACCCTATGCCTCAATTTTCTCATCTCTAAGATGGGTATAATGATACTTGTTCTGCGTATATCAAAGGAATTTTGTGAGCTTTAGATGACATAATATATGTGAAACTTCAAGAATTACAAAGCATTTTGTTAATGTGATTAATATGAATGCTGTTAGTAATTTACATATACCTCTATTATGCTGGCATCACTTTTTTCTTTTTCATTAATTAACCATTCCAAATCCTTCTCAAAGTCATCTTCATATTCTCCACTTTCTTTTAAATCGATATCTTTATTTTCATCCATTTTTCATTGTTAAAGAAGAATGCTATAAATTTAAAAGAGATGAAGTATATGTTATGTCCTCCGCTTGAAGGATTATATGAAGTATAGTGATTGATAGCGAAGGTAAGATAAAAAACATAAAAATAAGACAACATGGAAAATTCAGAATAAACGTGCACCCCTAAAAGAAACACTTAGAATGACCACTTACCAGGTGTACCATTCCTAACTAACAACCATCCTGCTTCCTCCCAATTTCTGAAAACCTAGTTTACCAAGAGATTAAAAAGGATAGACATGAGACTACCTAAGGCTTAGAGAAGGATTTTCCACATCACCTGCTCCTGCTGATCATTACAATTCTTTCAGAATTGTTCAGGTCAGAACAAAGGACTCAGCTTTTTGATCTCGTTCATACATACATGTTCATGTTCAAATAAAAATAATTATGTCAATTGCAATTCTCAGTTTCACAATCCTTTTAGTAACTTTCATGGCATAATTAAATTTGTGATGTAAGTAACAACTGATTCTCAATTATGGTAAATGTTTCCAAAGAAATCAAATTGCTGTCAGCTCTAAATAAAAATATTTTTTCATTAAAAAAAAAAAACTGTGATGACTAGTACCATCTGGAAGACAATGATAATAAATACAAATTTCAGATGACAGTTAATAAATGTGAAAATGGTACATTAATTCAGTCATTTTTAAGAGAACTAAAGTTACCCATAATTGGAAGTCAATTTCTAGCCTGCACACTTTTTGTGTATAAATTTTCAAACAAAAAAAAACTTTTATATCTTTACCTATGATGTGTCTGTATATGTCACATTTTACATATATACACATATACACATTCATTACAACTTTGACAAACATTTGTTGACTCTACACTATTCTTATATACGTTACTATAAAATAGACTTATGCCCTTAAGGAGCTTGAAGTCTGGTACAGAAGACAAATATAAACAAAGCACATAAATTAAAAATGTGATGAAAAATACATATTAAAATATAGGTAGATGGCGTAAATGTATATATAAATGATAGTTGGAGAAAGAATAAAAGAGCAGTTCATCTAAAATTGAAAATATCAAGGTAAGGCCAAGATGAATTTTGAATACTGAATGCAAGAGTTTATTGGTTATTATAGACAAAGAGAACAGCATGAAAAATGCCAAACAAACATGACTGTGTATGGAATTTGTTCAGTGGTCTGAACAGTCCTGCTGAAAGGACTGGAAGGAGTGAGTAGCTATCAGTTTGATGTCATATTATCTTTCCAAAAAAAAAAGACTAAGGAAAAATTATTTGTGTAGCTCTAAATATGAGGAAATAGCCACGGGCAAAAATCCATAGGAATAATAGGTACACTTTCTACCACTGACTTCAATGATAACAAAAAGAGCAATGATCTCTAAATGTAAATAGAATTTCAGTTCCAGTTCCAAAGAACTATAGAAATCTGATCTTTTTTTTTTTTTTTTTTAATTTTTTTTTTTTAATTTTTTTTTTTTTTTATAGAGGCATGTTTTTATTTATTTATTTATTTGTTTGTTTGTTTTGTTTATACATGCACTGGGTTCAGTCAGAAGCGCGGGAGGGTGAGAGAATTCACCAGAGCCAGAGCGGGAAGCAGAGCAGGCAGAGGGACCGAAGTACACTGCTGAGGGGAGCAGCGGGCGGCAGGAGAGGTCTGCGCGCCATGTGGGACCCTCGCTGGTGGCCGGGGAGCAGCCGGGGATCGAACCGGCGCCGCCGAGGCCACGGGCAGCTTCGCAACCCAGCGCTCAACCGCTGCGCCACCGGGGAGGCCCTAGAAATCTGATCTTCAAGGTCCCAATTACCTGGGACCCATGACTTTTCTTGCTCTTACACCAAACTCTTCCTGGAAGTAGAAATACAGATGTCAAGAACATCCAAGACCTAGGCAGTTTGAAGATATAAAAAAGTATAATTGTGTGTGAATTAATAAATTATCTAAAAACTTAGCTTCGGCCATTAGCTTCATCTTAATCTCCCCAGATCTTTGACCAAAATGCCTTAACCCAGTGCCAATTTACTAAAGCAAAATTTACACGTTTTTCCTTCCACTGTTTGCCATCAAATGATAGTGAATACATGCAGAAGAACATCTTTCCACTAGCTGCATAAATAATATCTAAGCAAAGAGGTAATGCTTTTCAATGCTATCTGTGAAAAAATGTCACTAGGCTTTTTTGACTTAGCAGGTTCAAAATGAGTAAAGATGAGTGAGGACACCCAAAATGTAAATGACCTCCAAAGCCAAAATTAGGTGTGAAATATAGATAGTATGAAACACCGTATACAGTTTCCTGCACTAAAGCTTAAAGCAGATTGAGAGAAACATGTTTAGAGAGGAGCAAACCAAAAGAAAGGGAAATAAAAGAGGAGAGGGAAGAAGGTAGACTGTGAGAGTAACATGCTTTAAAACCAGATTCTCAGGAATATTTGAAAACCCTGAGAACGTTAGCCTAAAGAAGAAAAAAACTAGGAAAGTCCCCACCACTTGACAAAATTGAAATGATTGTTATGTGAACAAGGTGTGGACTTGTAAAATTTCAAATAGTAAAATTAGTCTTAAGGGCTGGAAGCTCAGGGACAAATTTCAGCACCATGTAAGACAGGATTTCTTTTTCCAGACTTGTCCTGAACTGACCTGAGGAGCCTATGGATATAGTGCGTCCCTGATAAGGAAAATGTTTATATAAGCCTAGAGAATGACTACTGTAAAGGAAATTAAAGCTTTAGAGAAAAGGTTGAGCTATATGACCCACAGTTTCTTTTAACCTTTTCTATCAGATATAAATTAAATAACTGCCAACTCCTGAAAAGCAAGCAAATTTAAAAGCAAATGCATAGTACCATGATAAATCATAATTTAAAATAAATGATCAGTGTCTGAATAGTCAAGACTTAAAAAAATTCTGAAGTCTGTTTCATTTAAATGTCATCCTCCTCCTGGATAGTTCTTGATAATGGTCCTTTCATCACAAGACAGTTTTAGGTACACTGAATGTTAATAGTCAACCTAATTACTCATCCGGATGCTTAGAACTATTTCTAATGTGTTAGTTGACTATAATTCCTTTTAGATATTAATCTTTAAGGCAAATACAAAAAAGATCTTTAAAAAACAAGTCCTCAATGACTTATACATGAGAGATCAAGAACAATAATTGAGGTGTCCTGGAGAAACCAAATCAATATTTCAATGTGAGTTTATTTACCACCCTCCCGCACAAAACAGGCTAAATCAAGTAAGTTATTGTTTTTACTTAGTCACCAATTAAAAGGAATGATGCAATGAATGATGCAGAATACACTAAAACTCACTGTGATCCAAAATACATCAATATAATTTGTCACACCCACAAAGGCCTTAGAATAATCAGTTTCCCTTTACAGACCAAGGATTTTGAAATTTATTAAGATGTGTACATTACATAACTTAGAATACAACTTCTATGTAACTCTTTGGTGCTTTCCCGTTAATGATTCCCTGAAGACTTTAGTGGACATATTTTATTATTCACAGAGTCTCACAAATCTGAAAACTTAAATTTAAAACTAAAACATAGAATTAACATAATAAAATCATTACAAATTAAACATGGTAGGTGTTATTAAATATATTATCATGCCGTCATTGAAAAGAAAAAGTCAGAGTCGAAGTGACTCTGAGAAGTAAAAGAAATTGTATCAAATTTGTAGTGCCATTCTTTTCTTATAGCTTAAAAAAAATGCACGACTGGTGCCCAAGTAAACAGGTAACATAAATCGTAAACTTTTGTTACCAAGTCCCTTAAGCCTTTTTCAAATGCGTCACAGGATATTCAATCCCCTTCAGTTGTTTTAATCTCCTTCCCCAGGGTACCAGCCATATGGTACTCAATAAACATGCTGGAACAAAATTGTATACAAACGCAATCACCTAACATTTATTCCTGTGTGAGTTTAACACATTTTAAGACCCAATGTTTATCATCAGTAAAAAAAAAAAAAAAAAAAAAAAAAAGTATGTGTCTTGGACCAGAATTATTGCCCTATGAATAATAGAGCACTATAGTAAGAAGACAGAAATTAATTCCTTCCTCCTGAGTGTCTGCTAAATCCCATGTGAATATGACTGCAGATCTTTCAGTGTGAGTTTAAGCTAAATTTTAGACTCAATTTGTTAACTTTCTTTCGGGCTTCAGAACATTCAGAAATACTTTAACTTAATTCATTGACTCTGGTCTAATCGCTAGCCTTCAAAACACGCTTGCTTAAATTTTAAGAAAACTGAAAGAACATCCAAGAAAAAATTTTTTTAATATAAAATAAATACTTAGGCAAAAGCTAACCCATAACATCATGAGACCATCTGACCCATTCTTCTGCTGCATAATGCCAAGATTGATTCCAAGAGCAATTTTCTAATTTATAATCTATCAAAAGTAGGACGATAAGTATTTTACATTAGGTGATCATTTTCATTTTCACCCAGCGTCCCAACGTACCACTGCCTACACACATACCTTCACCTCTACATGGATACATGGACCCTAACAATTCAGGAGCTGTTTTTCCTCCCAAAGAAAAATACTTTGAGAAGGAAAACACTACAAATATTAGAGATTAAGCTACCCCTCAGAGGGGTTTTTCCTCATACAAAGCAAGGCGTTTTGCCGGGATTCCCCGCCAGCGCCAGGCTCCGTGGCGTCCAACCTCAGAAAGATAAAGCTCCCACAAAAGGGTTCTTCCCTTTTCTTCTAGACCCACTTTTCCACCCATTTGTCCCAGACCTTTACCCTCTACCTTTTCTCCCGCCCTAAATATCTCCACATCACCCTTCCCTTCTCTCCCTCTGTAGCCCCTCCTGCCTGTAAAAGATGCAGCAGCTGGGGTCTCAGAGATGGCCGGGGTAGCTCTCCTCTCCTCCTCTTTCTAAGCTCTGACAATAAGACCAGGGAGACCCCACCACCTGCTCCCTAGGCAGCCGGTATCCGGCTGCCATGGCAACGGCACGTCTTTCGGCGTCTTCAATCCGGGCTTCACGTACTGCGCGAAAACGGTGGACCTGCGCAGGCGCAGACAGTAGTTCACGAACACCTGCCCTTCCGGCGCTCTTCCGGGTGCTACGACGGTGAGACAGCTTGCGGTATCCTAGGAGACCAGCGAGCAAGCCAAGCTTCGCGCACATTGAGCTGGCGTAACGTAAATAGAAACTCACCGAGGACCACTTTCTTGGTTGTGAGTTTTCCCACGTTAGCTCTCTCTCGGCAGATTTGGAATATTATAACAACTTTCATATTTAGTATGTTATTCCCATCTCCCCTTTAATGTCAAAAGTAGCGTTTGAGTAAATGGCTAATTAGTTACCAAATCTTTCACCCCAGGTTTCCTCCCCAGCCCACCCGGAATCAAAATCTAAACCCTATATCAGAGTGGGCAAAGGAAATAATGTTTTCTACTTGTCAAGCATGTCAAATGGTCAAGTAGGGTTTTCGTGAATCTTAAATATGGTTTGTATGTATAACGGAGAAGCAAAATGAATTTTAGATTGTGGTGACAAATGGTAAAATTTTAGAAATTGCCTAATCCTCACCATAAATAAATAAAATCAGGAAAATGAAAATGTTTTCTCAGTACAACCCATTATTTTCAGGGGGGTTTTGTTGTTGTTTATTAGCTCTTACATCACTTGCTATGATTTGTAGGGAGCATATTTTTTCCAAAGAGGAGCAATGTAAATTGAAGTTTTATACCATAGAGTAGACTGTTAATAAAAAAAGATTCAAGGTTAAAATGAATTACAGTACTGAGTGCACTTCATCGCTGCAGTGTAGAATTTATAGTTACAATGACCTAATGTTTCTTCTGTTGCAGGACTTAATCTTAGTCCAAACACTTGAAAAAGACACAAAGTGAAAAAAGAGTCCTTTGAAGAACAAAGGAGTTTTAATCAAATCTTTTAGTAAACATGGAATTAATTATCACAGCTAAAGTAGCCACGTTTTCAGAATTACTCATGTAATATTTTTTCACTCTAAGTATAAAGAGGACCCTTCCAAATATTTTAAATATGTTTGCAAATGTTAATGAGCAATAGCACTGTTCACAATAGCCAAAAGAGGAAACAACCTCATGCCCAGCCAATGATGCATGCATAAATAAAATATGGTATGTCTAAATGGAATATTTTCAGCAATAAAAAAGAATACTGTGAAACATAACATGAATGAACCTTGAAACTGATTTTTTAAATGAAATAAGCCAGGTAGAAGAGAACACCTATTGTCTGATTCCATTTACATGAAATGTCCAGAACAGACAAATCTACAGAGACAGAAAATAGAATTGTGGTTGCCCAGGGCTGGGGAAAGGTGCTTTGGGGAGAAAGTTGTTCATTAGCTGCTGAAAGTTGAATTGTGTGGTATAGGAATTATATGACAACAATAAAGATGTTACCAAAAACCATTAATAGAATAGTGGGCAAATCATAACTGGAGAGTTAAAATATTTTCAAAAATATGTTTTCAAAATTGATTAGCCTAGGTCCTGCACCTGTGCTTAACTGTCTTTTGGAAGATTTAATTTCTAAATCTAGTTAAAACTAGACTAGACTAGACCAAAACTAGACAGTTAGAACCCATCTATAAAAGGAATAATGGCCTTTAGGATTAAGGCATGCTCCACACAGTACCTGGTACATACAAAATGCTCAATAAATAGAACCTGTTATCATTACATTGCTTTCCAAATGGATAAAAATAGGTTTTAGAACAGCTTTAAATGTCCAAAATGAAAATAAGAAAAAAATTTAATTATGTGTGCAATTCTACAAAAGTATTCCCTTCATCATCCATTTTATAATATAAAAATCTAGATTTTAATGTCAGTTTTAAAGCAGTGTAAGTTAAACATTAAAATTATAAATTATAAAGCCTTTGTGTTATATCAAAAGCAAAGTGAATAGGTATAAAATTCAGAAACACATACCACTTCAATGAAAGTCAGAATTCCAGTTACCCCAACACCTAGAATCCATTGCAGACAAAAACAAGTTTAAAATACTTGAAAAAATAATAAAAACTTGTTACAAAGTTAACATGAGCCTTTTGTCGGTGAGTCTGTCACAATCTTTCATTAATTTTTCCTAATAAAATCAGGTCTCTTGAATACCCAGCCCAAAAATTAGAATATGATAATTTGAAAAGAAGAGAAAGACGAGGTGGGGTGTTAAATGTAGGTATACTGACACCAGATGAAACCAGAGGGGTAACTGATTGACTACAGAGAGGAAAAAAAAAAATAGAATTCAAAGCAAAGACTGCCTAGGATTAAACTGAAATCTGATCATTTTTCCTAAGTGCAAGCTAAGAAAAACAGCATTGTATACTAATTCACAATCTGCAGTGATAAGCCTGCTCTATTAAGAAAGCTAATGAATGATTCACTACTCGAGAAATATCAGGTTTTCAAAATATTAGATTATGCTTTTAAAAACTTCAGTTTTTCCTATTGAATTTCTTATTTATGAACCAGACTGGGGGATGAATAATTTCTAATCTCTGGTTGAAGGAGCTCAAAAGATATTAAAAAGAGAAGTAAACAAAGGGAACAGGGTGTGATGTACATGGTGCAGGTTTAGCTAAAAAAAAAAAAAAATGGAGTGATTAATTATGAAAAGGGTGACAACAAAAGGGCTTGCACAAAGTGATGACATCAGAGCTGACTTTTAAAAAATTAAAATAGGGCCTCCCCGGTGGCGCAGCGGTTGAGCGCTGGATTGCAAAGCAGCCCGCAGCCTCTAGCCTCTACACCCCCCACCCCCCCACCCCCCCACCCCCCCACCCCCCCACCCCCCCCCCCCCCCCACCCCCCCACCCCCGCCACCGGAGGAGAGTCCCACATGGTTCGCAGACCTCTGGTGCATTCGATCACCCTCCCGCACTTCTGACTGTACCCAGTGCTTGTATAAATAAAATGAAAAAAATAAAATAAATCAAAAAAATAAATAATAAATCTTTAAAATAAATAAATAAAAAGTTAAAATAATTGTGCAAGAAGGGCCTCCCCTGGTAGCACAGCGGTTGAGCGCTGGGCTGCGAAGCCGCCCGCAGCCTCTGCAGCGCTGGTTTGATTCCCGGGCCGCCTGGCGAGGGTCCCAAATGGCAAGACAGACCTCTCCTGCCGTGCCCACTGCTCCCCTCAGCAGTGTATTTCGTCAGTCTGCCTGTTCTGTTCCCCGCTCTGGCTATGGTGAATTCTCTCACCCTCCCATGCTTCTGACTGTACCCAGTGCTTGTATAAACAAATAAATCTTTAAAAAAAAAATTTTCTGCCAGAAGAGTAGGTAGGACATTGTATATAGAGATAACATTTGCAAAGGCCTGGAGGTATCAACCAATTCACTCTAGGATCTTCAGGTATTCAGAAATGCAGGCTTAAAACACAGGACAGGGCATGACACAAGATGAAATCTATCTCTCATTGCCCATGGCAACCTCTTAGATATCATAAATATATTGTGAAAACACTGTGCTATGATCTGAACCAATCCTTTCATTAACATAACATCATCCTAGGAAAATTAGGAGTATTGTTCATTTCTCCTAAATTGTGGGTTATTTAAAGCAGAGATCAAGTTTTAGTATTTCTGTAGATATTAGCAGTACTAAAATTTAAATGCTTAGTGGATAGTACTGAATAAAAATATAACTAAATTGAACACATTTTAATAACCTTAGTCATATAATTTATATAATCAATTTTGGAATTTCTTCATAATACTTTGTCATGGTACTAACGGAGTTAGTATTTCAATTGCCAGGAAGAAAAAGTAATAAATTTCTAAAATGGGACATTTTGGAAAGTGCAGAAATTAAATTAGGGTAATCAGAGGTAGCATGACACCATGAGAGCTCAGGATTGTCATATAATTTAGGAAGGATTGATTAGCCAATGCTAAAGACACATTTAGCAGTTTTATATAATTTAAGAGATTGCTGTATCTTCTGTCTTTCTATACACATGCAATTTAAGCAATACTATTTACAGTAACATCAAAAAAAACAAAATACTTAAGAGTGAGGTTAACCAAGGAAGTGAAACATCTATACACTAAAAACTATTCAACAATGATGAAGGAAATTTAAGAAAACACCAAAAGATGGAAAGATCTCCCAAGATCATGGCTTGGAAAAATGCTGCTAAACTGTTCATAATAACCAAAGCTATCTACAAATTTATAGCAATCCCTGTAAGAATTCCAACAGCATTTTCCACAGAAACAAAAACTATCCTGATTCATATGGAATCATAGAAGACCCCAACTAGTCAAAGCAATTTTGAGAAAGAGAAAGCTAAAAGCATAACCCTTCCTACTCTCAAACTATATATATATCAAGGCTTTAATCATCAAAATAGTTTAGTTATGTCATAAAAACTGACACATAGACCAGTGAAACAGGAGAGTCCAGAAATACATTCATGCATATGCAGTCGGTTACTCTTTCCAATGGTGCCAAGAGGGAAAGACTAGTCTTTGAGATAAGGTATTGGTGTTGGGAAAACTGTATATCACATGAAAAAGAATGAAACTCTTACATCATATGCACAAAAATTAATTTGAACAGGTTAAGGACTTAAATGTAATACCTGAAGCCTAGAAGAAAACTGAAGGGATAAGTCTTTGACATTGGTCTTGCCAATGATTTTTTTTTTTAATATAAGTCCAAAAGCAAAATTAAAAAGTGGTACTACATCAAACTAAAAAGCAAAGCAAAGAATGTATAATAGGACCTCCCTGCTGGTACAAAGGGTTAAGATGCAACCTAGGAAGCTATCCAGAGCCACTGCATCAGGAGTTCGATCCCCAGCCAGGGAGCTACCCACATAGTGCAGCAGACCTTTCCTGTTTCACCTGCTGCTCCCCTCAGCAATGTATTTCAGTCAGTCTGCCTGTTCTGTTCCCCACTCTGTCTCTGGTGAATCCTCTCACCTGCCCCCCCCCCACACACACCTCTGGCCTGTACCCCAGTTCTTGTATGCATAAATAAATATTTAAAAAAAAAAAGAATGTACAACATAGAAACCATCAGCAAAG